AAGTTTAGAGAAAAAATTTAAAATATTAAATTATAGTGTATAGACTATATAAGTAAAAAGCGTGTAGTACAGGGACTTTATGAACAATTTAACTAATTGAATCTTATTTTAATAACTAAATGCAATTACACCTATTACCCCTAATTAATTATTTGTAACTAAACTATGCTTAGGGTTAAATGGTCAATGTCACCTGAAATTTTAATAAAGAAAATAATTAAAAACAATCAAACAAATATTTCCCAAAAATCCTTCTCATTTTCTTCCCCTTTCTTTCTTCCTCTCTCTCTCTCTCTCATTCTCTTCTGTAAACGGCGTAACGGTTTTTTTCTCTCTTGAAAACCCCCATTATTAGTTAACTCTCACTATCACGTGCGTTTTTCGAATTAAAAGAGAGAGAGAGAGAGAGAGAGAGAGAGAGAATTTATCGACTCTCCCGTTCGATTTTTATGGCCTCGGAGCAGTTAAGCTTGGCTGCGAGTACGGACCCCGTTGACTGCCAGAGAGACGCCTTCAACGCCTCCACTAACGGCGACGAGCCCCGTCCGATGTCATCTGATTGCGGCGATGACGTCAGCAAGACTCCGAGGCTTCCTCGATGGACGAGGCAGGAGATTCTCGTGCTGATACAGGGGAAGAGGGTGGCCGAGAATCGGGTCAGGCGCGGACGAGCTGCCGTATTGGCTTTCGGGTCGGGTCAGGTGGAGCCGAAGTGGGCTTCGGTTTCGTCGTACTGTAAGCGGCACGGGGTGAACCGGGGACCGGTCCAGTGTCGGAAGAGGTGGAGTAATTTGGCGGGGGATTTTAAGAAGATCAAGGAATGGGAGAATAACACGAGGGAAGAGAACGAGTCGTTTTGGGTGATGAGGAACGATTTGAGGAGGGAACGGAAGTTGCCGGGGTTCTTCGATAAGGAAGTTTACGATATCCTCAACGGAGCCGCCACCGCCGCCGAAATCCCTTCCTCGGTCATGGCTCCGGATTTGGCTTTGGCTTTGACTCCTACTCCCGCGGCGCAGGACGTGGCGGAGGATGCCGAGACTGTTTTCGATAGCGGAAGGAGCGCCGCAGCTGAGGACGTGCTGTTTTCGGACTTCGAACAGGACGACGGTGGGGGGAGCCCGGAAAAGGTGGAGCCCGCGCTTGACTCCGACACCGGAAAGGCTGTTCCAGCTCCTATCCCTATATCAGGTAATTAAATTCTCATACCACATACAAATACTACTATACTAGTATTGATCACTAGCAATTGTTAATTAGTGATTAACCTTTGAATCATTGGTTGATTCTGTTTGCTTTTGTTTCTTCATATTTTATGATGATTTGATTGAATTTCTAAATTCTAAAATAGGTTTTCTTTAAGAGAAAGAACTTTGCTTTAATGGAGGTGTTTGAGCACTGTTGGCAACTCTTTTTAGCCTTTTTTTCTGTATGTTCTTTATAGCAGGAATCTTTAGCTTTTTATGAGGAGGAAGGATAGGGTTCTTCGGAAATCGAATCGATTGTAAACAAATGTCAACTAAAAATTTGATACAAGTGTATTAATCTACTCGATTTGATTCGAAAACAGTCGACTCAATACGATCACCGGATATCGAAATCTTCGTCAGGAGGGAATAGGAGTATGAAACTCAATATGATTATCCGATATCCTATATCGGAATCTTCAGGGAATAGGAGTATGAGATTGGTGCATTTTCCTTTTTCTTTGGATCTTTCACTGAAAATGTGGAAAAGGGTTATCATTGATCCATTAAAATCTTATAAATGTTTTGTTTTGCTCACCTTTTATGCTCACAGAGCAGCAGTACCGGCTACCGCAACAACCATCTATTCCGGGGAACAAGAGTCAAGGTAATATTGATTTTTACCTACCTAAGTTCATGTGCTCTGTTGCTACGTTTATCGGATTAGGTGTGAGTGTAGGATAAGAATATGTATCCGATACGAATATGATCAGAATTGTCCTTGTAAATAGAGGGTCTTGAAGATCAAATCATTGTATTCAAGTGCCGGACACGGATACTTCCGATAAATAAATGAAGAATCCGGGCAACATAACTTCTACTTCATGCGTTGTCTTTGTTTTTAACAATAGGTATTAATGTTCTATTCTGGCATTCTGAGTAATCACTTTGGCGATTTTCTGCTAAGTTCCATTATGACTAATTGACTTTCTTCAGGCTATATATTTTTCCGGAGCATATCTTGTTATTGGCTTGATTACTAAGTCGCCAATTGCCATGTTCGAGACTCAACCGTGTCTCGAACAAGCCTTAGTTGTTTCGTGGAGCAACTGACGAGGTTTAGACCAAAACTCGTTAGGGTTACGAAAAATTACTGCACCAGCGGTAGAATTAGTTTGTTCCTGTATGGCAATGCATACCAGGTTCCAGTAATCAGACTTGGACATGCAGGTACAGCAAGGGAGAAACATCCAATCTCGAATCCCGAGCTCGGTTCCTCCTCTCAAGAAGTAAGGAAGAGGAAACGGATGGCGACTGATGGAGACGAGGAAACAAGCAGCAGTCCACAGTACCACTTGATCGACGTCTTGGAAAAGAACGGTAAAATGCTGGTTGCTCAACTCGAAGCTCAAAACATCAACTTCCAACAAGATAGGGGGCAAAGGAAAGACCACGGCGATAACCTAGTCGCCGTTCTTAATAAGCTTGCGGATGCTATAGGTAGGATTGCGGATAAGTTATAAACGGGAGGGGATCGGTATACGTTTGTACATAAACCGAGTACTACGATACCTGGTTCGAGTAGATGGTAGCTCAGAAGAATTGATGGATCAAAATTTTCCCACAACATACTAACATTTAGTTTCTGCCAATGGTGCCATACACCAATAAATAAGGTTTAGAATTTTGTAGATTTATACCACATTTCTACATTGAGATTATATGATTTTTTTCCCTTCACTTTTTGTACATTTTGGACCAAATTGCATATAATATTTTGTATAGAGCAGCATATATTATTAGTCATTGCTTTGGTTCTCATTTAAACGTTTTCATTCTTTGAGGCCTTTTCCTTATAATAAGTTTATTTACCTCTTTACTTTCAAGTATTGATGCATACGAGAGGTTGAATTTCCATTTTAGTCCTTCTATTGTGCATAACTTTGAGTTTTAGTCTCTGTATTTTGATTTGACATAACTTAATTTATCAATTTCTCCCTTATCATATATATAATTTTAAATAGACTTAAGTGTTACTTTTATCCATGTAGTAAACTCAATTTATCAATTTCTCTCCTATCGTTTTTTACATCAATTTAACCCTCTAAGTTATTTAGGGTGTTCATCATAACCCTCGAAGTCTGTTGACCATTTTGATTAACAAAACTATTAGTGTTCTGTGTTTTTCAACACCAAAAAATTCCAGATAAACCAATATTACTAACGTAGCTTGATGATGACATGACATTAATTAAAAAAGTAATTAAATATTTAAAATGTTTACTAAATACAACACAGAAAAATCTAAAAAATTGACCTAATCACTTAATCTCTCTAAAAAAATAATAAAATTTTAGAAATTTATTCTGATCATTGTGTTTAATAAATATTTTAACATAATCTCTTAATCTACAGATGCAAAAGACTCATAGTTATGTTAGTCAAAACAATTTACGGACTTCGATGAATAAGATGAAAACCTTAAACAACTTCGAGGGCTAAATATCATAATAATACACTTCAATTAGTAGGGCTGCTTGCTTACCCTGAAGCCCAGTAAATTGACTTATTTGTTGAAATTTAAGCCCATGGGTCTCATTATTGTACTTGTTACTTGGTCTATATAAGCCGTCTTATGATTATGTTTTTAAATATATGTATCTGAAGTTATTTTTTTTTTAAATTTTTTATATAATTTATAGTCTAATTATTTATTTTAATATCTAATTTAATCACATGTAACATGTGTGGGTTTCTAACTAGAATTTGTCAAGTTTGCAAAGGAGAAATTGTCAAAATAAAGGGAAATCAGAACAGTCCAAAATGATACTGCATTTTTCTAGTCCCACTTTGAATTATATATGTCAATTTTGGTACAAAGTAAATAACTTCTGCTCCCCTTCCTCCCACCCAATTACACAAGTCTAAGTCAACTGCTAAATATATTACAAGGAACGTAATTTTGTTTATTATTCATAAATATAAATTAATTATTAGACGTTAACAGATTACTTCAGATCGAATATTACAAAAATTCGCTATAAAACGATTCTTTCAATTAAGTTTATTTCAGACCTATAATCTTATTTCAAAAACTTCATACGGAAAGATCAACACTAGGAGTATTTAACTTAGTTATGGACTAGATTGACAAAAGTATATTATCGATGTAATAATGATAGTTTAAGTACTTAATTGTAATCTTTAAAAGTTTTAGGATATTTGAGGAAATTAACCCAACAAGAAAAGGAAATAAAATGATTCATATATAAGGATGTAAACGAACCGAGTCGAGTTTGAGTATTACTAATCTTCACTCAACTCAAAAACTCTAAAATGAAGCTCGACTCGGCTCGAAAATTCGAAAACTTAAAATTTATCAAACTCATAAATGTTTATATTATTAATCATTTATTTATTTTTAAATAAAATTTTAGTATATTATATTTTCTAGTTACTCATAAACTTTTCGAATTAAATATAAAATAAATTATTTTGATTCAATAAGAATTCAAATTAAATATAATTAAATCGAATATTTATCAAATTTTAATTAATTGGGCCTCCAATATCTCAATCATGTCTCGTCACATTTACTGCCATTTTACCTACACATATACACTGTTATGGTCATAGAGTTGGACCTGCTTCATTTGTTGGTATCACAAACTACACGTGGAAGACGTGTACGTTTCTTATACGCTTTACCAACCAAATATTAATTTTTTTAAATAAAACAAAACATTTATTTATTTAATAATTATTAATAAATACAGCGAATCTCCTTTAATACCTTCTCATGCATCTCGTGTAATGCTCCCTCGCCTCTCCATTTATATACACTTCAAATCTCTCGTTGTAACAAACAGGAGCCAAACAAACAATCAAAAGCAGAGTTTTATCTGAGAAAACAAAATCAAACAAAAATGTCGAGAGCTACCGTTGAGTTTGATTTCTTTGGATTGGAGAAAGCTAATTCCTGCAAATCTCAGTTCCAGAAATTCACCGATCGCCGTCGGAGCTTCCGAGGTATTTTTTTCTTCTCAATTTTTAGTGGACTTTTTTGTGGATTTGAATGTGTTTGAGCGAAGTACGATGGTTTGATTCGTTGAATGATTTTTTCTTCATTTTTTTTAAATTTCGGTGATTTTTAGTGAATGAATGTGTTTAAAGTGAAGAACGACGGTGATTAATGTTAACAGATATTCAAGGAGCCATTTCGAAGATGAATCCTGAGCTGATTAAGTCTGTGATTTCGTCCGGTTCGACGAACCAGAGTCCGGTTGATTGGAGAAAGTCTTTTTCAGTGCCTTCGAATCCTAAAGAAGATCGTACTAGTCCGGTTCCTTCTTTACTACCTATTCTGAATCCCGCCTTAAGGTAAATCGATTTTTTTCTGTATTTTTATCGCTAAACGGTTTCTTAAAGTAAAGACGTGAAAACGATAACGTTTTGTTCAACTTCAGAGCTTCTTCTGAGGACGGTCGTGAAACAGCTCCGTTGACGATTTTCTACAACGGAACGGTTTCTGTGTTCAATGTTCCTCGTGACAAGGTTCGTTTCAATCATTGACTAAATCTAATATTCATCCATAGATTTGTTTTTGAAAACCAATGCATTAAAAATTGTGTTATTGCTTTTTTTATTAGGCGGAGAGTATTTTCAAACTCGCGGTTGATGGAAGCTCCAAAAATGTCGAATCGACTGATTCATCGAAAGTTTCAAATCCTTCGAGCGATCAGCAAAACCTTCTTGAAACTCGTAATGGAGGTCAGTTTCTGTTTTCCGCTTTTCCTTCCATTTCTAGCCTTTTCTTCATCATGTAAACACGCACATATGTGTGTATATATTCATGTTCAACTTACAAATTCGTATACAAAAGATTTTTATATATACTTGTGGATATTTTATGCAGATTTGCCAATTGCTCGAAAGAAGTCACTGCAGAGATTTCTGGAAAAGCGCAAAGAGAGGTAAGATAATATTTGATCAAATTGCATTGCTGTGCTGAATCTCAAATTACAATTCCTTCAAAGTTGGTGCTTTTAAACAAACAAATGAAGAACAACTGAAAGGATTATTTATCAAAATTTTAAAAGAAATTGGAAATATTTTGTTGCAGAAAAAAATATTAGGATATAAAATATGGGGTATGATATAATTATACTCGGTAAAACTCTTACTTTTACATATTTTTAGGATTATTAGAGGAGATAAATTAAAAATTAAGATTAACAAAGAAGATATTTACTAAAAAGAATGAGTTAATTTAAAACTTTGATTTCTTTAAATCTAACAGTCCTAAAAGATGTAAAATGAGTTTTACACCGTTTAAATGGACCATAACCATATAAAACATAATAGAGGTCCTTAAATCAAGGATGAAACTAAGAATTTATTATAGTGGAGGTTAAAATAAATTTTATTTTCTATCAATATAATTTATTTTAATCAATTTTTTATATTTTATAAATATAATTTATTTTAATTGAGTGGGCTTGATAAATTTTTCTTTATTTATTTTTTAAAAATATATTTTTTTATAGTAATTCATAATTTAAAATATAATTAACAGTGTCAAAATCTCCTTGTCTTCCCCCTCATTCCGCCCATGTTTTTAATGAATAAAATACTTAATTTATTTCTTGTAAAAAAAGCAATATAATAAAAGAAACTGCCTCTTTTTGAAAACATAATGGGATTTTCAACTTATGGGAAAAGTAATAAGCCTTGTAAAACGCAATTTTGCTTTCCTTCATTTAAGCACGTGGAAAAGGCCAATGGAAACTCATTTAATTTTTCTTTGACGTTTCAAAGTCCATACCACAAAGGCACCGAACGGCACTAAAAATTTTGGGGAAAAAAAAAGAAAAAAGGCACGCGCTTTTGAATAGGGGAGACACATTGACCGTGACTAAACCAAAGTTTCTATTGGCCAAAACATTAAATCAATAAATCAGTCGACTAAATTTTAATTTAATTAACACTCTTATAAATTGTAGTTTAAAAATACTTCAGTAAAGTATATAAATCGTCATCTAATTATAGAGTGTTGTTTTATCGAGTCTTTAACTATTAAAAGTTATAAAATAACCATTTAACTATTAATTATGTTTTAAACTCGTCATTTTTTTAAAAAAATTGATGATATTCTAAGTTGAACGTTAATCTATTGACATTGATCCCAGAATCTCAAATGACTATCATATATCAGTCATTATATTAACATCCAACTTAAACAATTCCTAATTTTTTAACGAAAAAATATAAGTTTAAAATATAATGAATAATTGAGTGATCATTTTGTAATTTCTAATAGTTAAAAGACTTAACAAAATAACATTTTATAGTCAGATGATTATTTTATAACTTTTAATAGTTTAAGGACTTAATAAAAGAATATCTTATAATTAGAAACCATTTATGTACCTTACCCAAAATAATTTAAGTATAAATATTATGTTTGAAGTAACTAATTAAACTTAATAAAAAAAAGAAATAGCTAATTAAATTAATAGAGTTTTCCTCCCAAATTTGTCAAACATCTAACACGTGTTTTTTTTTTCATTTGTTTCTTTCTTTAGGATGACTTATGCTTGGTAGTCGTTATACCTAAAACAAAACGCGTTTTTTTCGAGGAAAGGCTAGCCGGTAGCACCCCCTTTGTTTACAAACTCCACATTGAAGATGCTAGAAAAAGGAGCCGACGAGGAGATAGGATAAGCTTTAGACTGATATTTATAGAAGGAGAACCGACTGAATTATATAAGTGATGTGATAGAATGATTTATTATATAGTTTTAAATGTTAAGGTAGTTGTGTTTTTTTCCGGACTTACTTACCACCGAACAATCCTTATTTTTCTTTGGATAGTGCATGCTATTTAAAGGGTTTTTTTTTTTTAATTTTACCTGTGTGTTTAGACTTTGTATGAACACCAGATACCTTCTTTTTATTAATTAATACTTTATTACTGTTATTAATAAAGAAAAAAAATGATTGGCGATGAAAAAAATACACTATGATCCAAACGTCTTTCTCGAAAATATTAAAATCACGTAGTATTTCTTACATCTTCCTTAATACTGTAAGAATGATACTAATTCAAAAATGATATGATGAGAGTCTTGTGTAAGAAAATATTTTCTCCTACTACCCTACGTGAACAAATTTGCCCGTACCTTGGCATCATCCTCGATCTCACTATTGGGCAAACTCTCTTCGGCCACTTCATCCATTTTCACGTTGAATATTGGGTTGTCTTACGGTCGGACCCTGTCATTAAGTTCTATAAGATCATCCGAAGTCATTGCGTCACCAACACCCTTATCCCCCATGAAATCTACAGTTACGGTCCTTTTTTCAGAAGTGATCACATCCCCATGAAAATAATTCTAACCATCATTAAGGGATCGTTTTCAGTTTCCTTAGTAGTAACATTCTCCGTCAGTTCATCTTGGATAGAAACTTTCTTTGCACCCTTCATTGCCTTTGCTGAGATATATCCACACATCACTCTTCCTTAATCTGGTCTATTACCATCCTCACCCGTACCCGTCACCCCGTCCTTGGTTTTAACACGATTGTCCTCACGAGTTCAATGATATATCTAAAAATATTTTTAAAAGTGACCCATAAAAATATTTATAAGAATTGAACCCGTATAAAATTCTAAGATAGACAGAAACAATAAAATGAATAATTATCTTAAGAAAACTCGAATTTCAAAATAAACACGTGTATATTCTCGCACCTTAATAGACCCGACAGTACACGTACGGCAGTGGAAATTTAGTTGGAAGTTTCCCTTTTCAAAAGAGCCGATCTATAACATACTTTTAGAAGGAAGAAAAGGCCAACAGACTTGTTAATTGGGCTGGAACGATTTAGCTTAGGATCAAAATTAATTTGAATAGAATCAAATTTTAGATTTTACTTTTTTTTATTTATATTAAATTAGAGGTTTAGGGTATCCATGATTAAGAGTTTAAATCATAAGCTTGAATTATTCTAAACTTGGATCAAAATTATTTAAATTGTTAATTTTTATGATCAAATCAAATTTGATGAAATTAAAATAAGAATTGATAAATCTAAATTAAAATGTAATTTTATCAATTAGGGGGTAGGGTTAAGGTTTAGGGTTATTTTTAGGGGGTGTTCATAATTCGGTTAAAATCGAACTAACCGATCGAATCGGAATTTCAGTCGTTTAATCGGTCAATTAACGGTTAATGGTTTTTTAAAACTTTGGTTTCAGTTAATTTAGTTCGAAATAGGTTAATTAACTGAATTAACCAAAATTATTAAATATTTAATATATTATTTAGCTTCAGGAACATTTAAACTTCAGTTTTAATCGAATTAACTAAAAGTATTAAATATCTCTTATATAGTACAAATTATTTATATATTTTGGTTAATTCGGTTAACCGACCAATTAACCGAATTTAATTCGGTTCGGTTAATTTAAAAAAAATAATTTGATTAACGGTTAAAAGAAAAAATAGATTAATGAAATTTGAATAATTTAATTCGATCGATTAATCAAATTACTCGTTTGAACACCTCGAGTTAATTTAATGAAAACGAATTGTACGAAACTGTTTCGTATTCATAGAAAACAATCCATCAAGAGGAAACTTCTTTGATTTTTCTCATAACACTAACTACCAATTAATAAAGCCAAAGATAAGCACCTATATCATTTTAAATGCGTGTATTAAATTTTAAGCATTATATATTATTGTATGGATACATAAATATTAATATTATTAAAAATTTGTTTTTTAAAGATAAATTCTTAATATATTATATTTTCGAGCTACTGTTACAAATCGCGTATCAAGTAACTCATTTCAACTCGTTAATAACTCGAGTTGAGTTCGAACTCGAATCAAATATTTATCGAATTTTGACCGGATTAATCTCGAGTAGATCGTAATATTTCTCGTCTCATTTACCGTCCTAGTCGTTATATCCTTCATTTAGAAGATAATACAACCGTGTATTGTAACACCCAAAAGTGTTTTAAATTGCAAAAGTATGTTTCATCTTCCAGCATAAGAGAAAAAAAAAATACTCCAACAAAAAGAGATTTTTTTCTCCCCATTTTCCTCCATAACCATGAGTGAAAAACCAGAAGAAAACACGAAAGTAGAAGAATCCCATGAACCATTAGATGATGAATCACAAGGCAAACCAGGTGATGATGGTGATCATCATCATCAACAACCTTGTGCAAATGAACCACCATCTTCATCGGAGGAAGAAGAAGATAAAAAGCAATGGGGAACTCACGTCATGGGGCCACCGGCGACGCCTGTTTCTCACCCGGATAACCAAAAGGCCGCTGCTTCGTGGACAGCCGGTGACCACCAGCGAGTCTATGAGCTGCCTTACCTCGTTTACTCGCCGGAGCCGGAGAAACCGGCGCCGAATTCATTCGAGCTTGCGATTAATGTGTTCAATGGTTGGAGTAGGAAGGCCGAGACCGTCGCCCGCAACATCTGGCACAATCGTAAGTTTTATATTATTGTACAACTCATGCGATTTTTTATGGATTAATTGCATCGACATACCAAAATTATTATCTAATTTCTGAATAGGTCAATTAACTTCAAAACATTCTAATTGAATTCTCAAAATTTTTGTATTACGTTACTTGGGTATCAATCGAGCTTTTTTGTCAATCCGAGTGTTAAATGACCCATATTTGGCTTTCGTAGTAATTTAATTCAAGTCTTTTAAAATATTCGTAGCATCTCCTCTGAATCTACGTATAGAAATGTACTCATCGTGTACGAACTAATTGCGACCTTAGTGGTTAAAATAATAATTATTTTTTCTAGAGGTTCTAGGTTTAAGCATCAACAACTACGGTGTATTTGAACGTTTATTGTCAGATGATTAAGAGCATTTAAAACAGATACTACAACTTGTAAACACCCTAAATTTTAAGCTAATGGCTAGACTAATCAGGAACCTAAATTTTAAGCTAATGGCTAGACTAATCCGGAACGAACGCATGAATTCATGTCAGGGGTTTGACTGACTTTGGTCACTGAAAAAATTAAGGGGAAATGATACCTTACGTTATCGATTTGTCCGGTTTAATTCCCTCAGCTATTAATTTCGTTTAACTCCTTTTATTTTAAGTACCTTTTGTTGAGGTCACTAACATGGTTGAGGGACTAAAATCGAATGGATCGATAACATTAAGGACTTAAATCGGACTGACCGATAGTTGTAGTGACCATTTCCACTTAATTTTTTTCGGTGACCAAAGTTGGTCAGAGCGAAAACATAGGGGACTATCGACATAATTTACTCAAAATTATATTAAAAATTATAAGAGTGCGAAGTTTTATAGTTTGGTACAAAATTTAATAATCAATAAAAAAATAAAAAATATATATATAATATAAAAGAATTTGAAAATTTTAAGAGATCCACCTCCATCACCTCTTAGATGACTACAAGACCTACTTGATACGATGTTAATATTTTGACTACTTAATCGAAACGTTTGAAGTTGGGGACAAATCTAAAACTCAAGCAAAAGTTTGATGATATTTACTGAAACTAACCCTTTTTCTTATTCAAAACCCTTTTTTACAAAACCAAAAAGTATTTACACATGCACGGTGGAAAACTACAGTGAAAACTGGACCGTCGGTGACGGATGCTGCATGGGGCAAAGTAAACCTGACGGCGAAAGCAATAACGGAGGGCGGATTCGAGTCTATGTTCAGGAAGATTTTCACGACAGACGAAAATGAGAAGCTGAACAAGGCATTCGCTTGTTACCTCTCAACAGCCACTGGCCCTGTCGCCGGAACTCTCTACTTATCCACAGCTAGGGTTGCATTTTGCAGCGATCGTCCCTTGTCGTTCACCGCTCCGTCGGGGCAGGAGACTTGGAGCTATTATAAGGTAATAGTATATACATACACCCGCGCGCGTACGCACACTAATATCAAATTACATCTAGCATAAAACTTTTAGTTTTACACATTTTTACGACCGTTGAATGAAAAAAATAAGGTTAAGATTAACGGTAAAAAATGTGAAAATATGCATAGAAAAAAAATAGTTTTGCATTAACCTTATATATAATCTAAATAGATGATAGAGATTAAAAAAAGGTATAATGTTTAAAAGTGGCCTTAAATCTTTATCAAAATGGTCATTTTTGTCTATAACTTTTTCTAAAGTATTTTAGCTCTTAACGTTTTATTTTAGGACAAAAATTCTCGCAACGTTTGACTGAATAATCATTTTATTATTCTTTTTTTCTGAAGCATTTTGGCCCCCCAACAATTAATTTTAGGGTAAAAAGGTCTCTCTATTTTAGACCGTTAATCATTTGCTAACTAATGATTTTCATTCACGAAGGTATTTTTTTCTCCAAAATTACATATTAGAAATTCAAATGCTCCAAAAAAAAGGAATACAGGCCAAAATTACCATTTAGATAAACGTCGAGGGCTAGTTTTGATATTATGCCAATTAAATAAAATCACCCATTTATACCTTGTAATTGGATCCCACTCCTAAATAACATGAATGTCTGAAACAGGTTATGATACCTTTGGCGAAAATAGGAGCGGTGTATCCGGTGGTGATCAAAGAAAACCCGACGCCGGAGAGTTATATCGAACTCATTACCGTCGACAGCCATGATTTCTGGTTTATGGGATTCGTTAAGTTTGAGAAAGCATCGTCTCAGCTTTTAAACATTGTGCAGGATTTCAAAGCAACTGAGCAAAATCTAGCTCAACCACCGCTTGTCTAGCACATATATATATATATATATGATATACTTACAAGGAAATTGTGCAAGGAATTAATGAACTATAAAGTATTCAGTTCCTATTTTGCCTAAGGAAATAACTTGTGTTACACCTGCCATGTATAATCGAAAACGGACACTTTAATAGTATTATTCATTTGTTCTATCTTACATATTCGGTTTGATATTAGTGGTATTTTTTTTGAATTAATCACTGGTATCTGATCTATTGACCGACTAATCCAGATCGGATACTGCAGAGGCAAGGCCGTCCCTCCCAACTCATTTTGTTCCATTCACAAACGTCAGGATTCCAACCACTGACATTGCTTAAGGGACATAATGTCTCATCCCACTAGATCAACTGGTTGTTGGTTGATATAGTGGTATTTGATATTGGTTATACCATTAGATTAAATTAATTTATTGTTTTCGTCAGCAATTTTTAAGGTATGTGATTAAAAGTTCTCGGTTAACATATCCCTTCTGAATTTATTACCCGTTAGAAACATAATTAATTAGAAAATGTGTGATCCCTTGTCCAATGGATCGAATTGTAAAAATTTTAATATCTTTTTAGTAAGATTTTAATTGTGTATATCATGAATAAAAAATAATGTTGAGAGAATTTGATTTCAAAATAAGGTTCGACTCCATCTAACTTTATACTTAATGAGGTTAATGTAATTTGATCGGATGAAGTCTTTTTCTTAAAACAATATTTTATTTTATAATATTATATAAAATATTGAATTTATGTTTATCAAACATTTTAATTATATTTAATATTTTTCGGAAATTTTGACGAGCTCAATGCACTCACTATAAAGGATCGAGGATATACCACTCACTATAAAGGATCGAGGATATACCACTAACTATTTTTCTCCCTTCTTTTTCACTCTAATTACAATGGTAAAATTCACCCATATTTGTAGATTTTAGTGATATTGGATTGTAATATCTTAGCCATTTAATAATACAAATATCTGGATATATAATTCTAGATATAATATTAAATATTACAATTATCTAGATTATTTTATGTATATTTCTAGACATCTACTATTTTTATATTAATCTAGAATATTCCCAAGATATATCTCCTAAATGATTTATAATTTATCTAAAAGTTGGATTGTATTTTAACACTCACCCTCAATGCAACCTTCTTTTCATAGATGATTTGTATATCACTACAAATATTTCTTTGAACTTCTCGAACTTTTATCTACTTAGACTATTTGTGAATGTGTCTTCCACTTGTACCTTTGTCTTTGTTGACACCATCTTGATATCCTCTTCAGGGATCTCCTTGCGAATATAGTGACAATGCACTTCTATAAGTTTTGTTCATCATCTGTTGACTGACGAAGATCTTTCATTAATTGTTTCAAGCAAAAAAAAAAATTTTGTTGTTGATGTTGTCGATCGATATTCTGTTTTGGTGCTTGATAATGATATTGCTGGTTGTCTCTTACTACACCATGATATTACTTTCAATCCAAAACTAAATACATATCAAGTTATTGATCGTCACATATCATAATCTCCAACGTAGTTAGCGTCACAATAACTAGTCACATTACATTCCTTTGTTTTCTTGTATAAAATATCAAAATTAGTGATATCTTTAACGTATCTCAAGATCTATCGTACCGCATCAAGATGATACTTCTTTGAATTACTCATATATCACTCTGATCGCATAAGTTATATCTGGTCGGCTTATTATGAGATAGAAAGTATTTTTGACATCCATCTGTCACAACTTTCGAGACTTGTTAGTAACCAAAGCTAGTAAGATTCGAATTATTGTGATCTATGTCACATAACTAGATGCTTCTTCATAATCTAACTTATTTTATTGAGAGAAACTTCGAGCAACAAAATCGAGCTTTATATATCTTTTAATGGACCCATTTGATCGAGTTTTCTCCTTGTAAACTTGTTTACGAGATATTGACTTTATGTCTTTTGACTTTGGAACTAAGCCCATGTATGATTTCCTTTTATGCATTTATATCTTTTTCCATAGCCTTTTGCTACTCTCGGCTTTGTATTGCTTCTTTATAAATGGAAGACTCAATAGATGTAGATTCATCCACAAGCGTAGTGTTGGCATAACTAGGGCCGTAAATGAGACGAGACAGATCGCGAGCTATTCGAGATCGACTCGATCAAGGCTTGATAAATACTCGGATCGAATGGACTCGACTCGAGTTCTTAACGAGCTGAAACGAGCTGCTCGATATTCGACTCGAAAAGCTCGTGAGCAGCTCGAAAATATAATATATTAAGGTTTTATTTTAAAAAATAAATTATTAATAATATTAATATTTATGTATTGATTTTTTTTAAAATACAGTAAGATTTCATGTATTTAAGGTTCATGTTCGCGTTTGAGTTTGAGGCTTCAATCGAGTTAAGTTTAAGAATTTTTTTTTCATTTCGAGCCTTTTCGAGTTGCTCATGAGCTTCAGTTCAAGATTTCGAGTTCGAGTCGAGCTTGAAAATTTTAACCTCACGAGTTTTCGAGTCAAGTCGAGCTCCATTTTAGAGTTTTCGAGTCGAGTCGAGCTCAGCAATACTCGAGCTCGACTCGGCTCGTTTACATCCCTAGGCATAACTTATCCACCGCTAGGGTTGGCTATTGCAGCGATTGTCCCTTATCGTTCATCGCTCCATCGGGGCACGAGACCTGGAGCTATTATAAGGTAATAATGTAAGTTATACACGAAAATATAATCATAAGATAATCTAAATAGATGACCGCGATTAAAATAAAATTATTCAGTTATACCGTGTAAGTGGGCCATATTCTAACATGAATGTCTGAAACAGGTGGTGATTAAAGAAAACCTGACGCCAGAGAGTTATATCGAACTCGTTACCGTCGACGGCCACGATTTCTGGGTTATGGGATTCGTTAAGTTTGAGAAAGCATCGTCTCCGCTTTTAAATAATGTGCATGATTTCAAAGGAACCGATTAAACGAAGGGACGAACGCATAAATTTATGTTAGGGGTTTAAATTTAAGAAATTATATTGAAAATTTAAGAGGTTTGAAATTAGATAATCAATAGAAAATACAAAGAAATTTTTTAGGGTTTTGAAATTATAACTAGTCTCTAGGTTTTAAGATGTTACTTTTTTTAATCCCTTGACTATTAAAAGTTACAAAATGGTCACCCAATTATTCATTATATTTCAAATTCGTCTTTTTTGTTAAAGAATTGATGGTGGTCTGAGCTGGAGATTAATATCTCACAATCTCAAACGATTATCATATCTCAGAAAATAAACTAACATCTAGTTCAAACTGTTGTTAATTTTTTAATGGAAAATGATGAGTTTAAAACATAATGAATAGTCGAGTAACCATTTTGTAACTTCTAATAGTCGAAGGATCCAACAAAGTAATATCCTACAGTCGGGATCATAATCGGAAATGGTCATGTTGATGATATGCTTCATTCGTTCGGTTTTACCTATTCGTTTCTACACGATCATATTTGATGTTGATTCCACCATTATAATTAAACTAACGTAACGCCTTCGACCCATAGTTGTATTGGTTCTGTTGCACCTACCATATATAATCAGAAACAAACACTTTGGTAGCATTATCCATTTGTCCGATCTTATCTATTCATTTCAACACGATTATATCTAATGTTGATTCTATCATTATGATTAAACAGTATAACGCCTCCTACCCATAGTTCTTTTGGTTCTCTCAATTCGAATTTTTACTGTCAGACACCCATGGTTCCATTGGTTCTGTTATACTTGCCATGTATAATATCAGAAACAGACACTTTGATAGCATCGTACATATGTTCGGTCTTTTATTCATTTTAGTATGACTGTTAATCAAACACGTATAAGAATGACGAACTATATTAATTGATTTAACGGGATAAGATTAAGTGTTTGAAGACTGGTGTTATAAATGTTGATTCGAATTAAATAACTATCGAATGATATAGGTAATTTATTAAAAGAAAACTGGGGTCGCAGTCATTACCCACAACAACATTTATTTGGGTTTGCCATTGACCTCCGCATGCGGAGTTCAATGGTGCCCTAAACAAAGGCTAAACAACAGAAAACTTCGAAAACCCTAAAAGGGGAGAAACACAGCAAAGCGAAGCACAGAAGATCTGGTTCATGGATACGATGGTTCGCCATTGTCGAAGCGAATAAGAGGACCATTGCATCTAGGGCAAGCGTTAGATTTCTTGGGGACCATGAGATACATGTAGCACCTCGAGCAACCGACCGCTACCAGTATGTCGTACTCTTCTTCCTCGAGTTCTTCATGATCGTCGTCGTCATCGTCGTCGTCGTCATCATCGGACGATGATGAGTAGTCGTCACTGTCGCTGTCGCTGTCATACCAAATATCATCATCATCATCATAGTCGTAGCCTTCTCCATCGTAGGAGTAATCTCCGCCGTTCTCCGTCCTTGGATCATCCACCGGCTTCACTCCGTCCCTCCGGTTCATGCAGCGAACCTCCGCCGTCTGTAAAATGAAACTTCCACAGATCAAAATCAATCCTCAGAAACAAAACAAAAAGGAGAAAGGAATTTACCTTCAGGTCGAGGCATTGTTGTTTCAAGTAGTAAGGGAGGGAGACATGGGAATTGAGCTTGGAAACGGCACCGTTTAGAACCTTGTTAACACCGTCGTCTTCCTCAAGACCACCCTTATGGTTCAGAGAACATTTTCGAAAAGAAGCAGTGATCGTCTCCACCATGTTTGGCTCTTTCACTGTACATATCATACGTGAAATCCCCATGAAATCGAAGCGAAGAAGATGATGAAAGAGAGATAGAGATTATGAGATGTGAGAATTGCTTTGAAGATTTTGAGTTATAAATAGGCGAGGGAGTGTATTATTTTAACATATATCACCCTCTATGTGGACCCTCTCACAGAGATAGTTTAGTTTCAGTTAATATGTGGAAATCCGATTTATTTTTAATTTCCATAATCTTTAAATTTAAATAATTCTTTTGTTAAATCATACTTGTATCCAATCATTTGATTGATTAATCTAAATCGAATACCGTAAAGATTTATTATAAGGACTACTTTCCCAATCTAATTATTCTATTCACAACGTCACGTTTTTCACGTATAAGTCGAGCGTTACTTAAATATATTTAATTTCGCATCTTCTTATATATTGAACCAATAATAATACAAAGTAAATTAAACTCAATCAAAGCCTTCCACATGTTCTTTTTAGATATATTTCCTTTTATATATTTTCTAAGGTTGAGCGAACAATTTGACTGGAAGTTATTTTATGTTCGTTTATTTATTAAACGAATGAATATGAATAATATTTTGGGTTTATTATGAAATGAACAAACACAAACAAAAGGTTTGTTCATTCATTTAAGTTCGTGAACATTCAATAATTCGTTTGTTTATGTTCGTTCACTTATATTCAACTCAACCTCCAAACCGGTTTAAAATATCAAGAGCTAATAAATTTTAACATTAAACTCGTTAATATTTTAAAGTATAATTAATGTTAAACCCAAATAATAAATACACAAATCAATTTAATAAAATAAAAATCATAATATTATTTGAAAAGAAAACATCTTCTCAAATATAAACCCGATTAATTTTAGATTCGTTTGTTTAAGTTCATTCATTTGTATTTTTTTTATGTTTGTTCATTTGTGTTCGTTTATCATTTTAACAAATGAACACGAGCAATAAATTCCGTTCATTTAGTTGTTCATATTTGTTCGTTTGTTCGGCTAAAGTTAAGCGAATGAACATTAACACACCCCCGTTCGTGTTATTTCGGATCTTTTACAAGTCTAATAAGGATTATATATACATAAGGTTAGGATCCACTTACCCCTAGTATAAAATTTTTAGTTTTATATCATTTTAAGATCGTTTGATGAGAAAAAATCAAAGGTTGAGATTAATTTCTTTTTTTTCCAGTTAATATCTTATCATTTTTCTACTCTTAATATCAGCTTTTAATTTCAAGTCTTGCAATTATCATCTAAAGAAGAAAATTTTTAAAGAAATATTTTATTTCTTTAACATTATATTATCCATTTAATTTATATTTATTAAACAATTTAATTATACCTATATAATATAATTAATATATATTTTATAATTTAATATTTAAAATTTGTTAATGCTTAAATCTATTATGATTTGATCAATTATAATCTAATCTCAATCTTTTTCATTTTATCTGTTAATTTATTGGACGCAACATTTTATCTTATGGTGTTATTTTAATGATACTTTTTAAATTTATGAATTAATTTAATAACGATTTGCGTAAACAGAAATATTATATATATATAAAACTGACGATTATGAGTAAAATAATAAATAGGTAAAAAGGCATCAAAGGTCCCTTTACTTTTGAAAAAACTAATGTGACAATCGTATTATTTTTTTCTCTCAATGTGGCCTCCAACTCGGAAAATAAACTCAATGTGACCATTTGACCAACTTTTTTTGGTCATTGACCGTTACGATGCTAATGTGACAGTTCACGGTTTTGACATGACAGTCCAGGGTGGCAGATTAGCATAGAAAATGACATGACAGATTGACTAAATTGGTAACTCAAACATGACAGATATATTGTCACGTCAGCGCCATGAACTGTCACACTAGTACTGTAACGGTCAACGACAAAAAACTTTGGTTAAAGGGTCACATTGAGTTTATTTTCTGAGTTGGAGGGCTACATTAAGAGAGAAAATAATACGATTGTCACATTGATTTTTTCTCAAAAGTACAGAGACTTCTGATGTCGTTTTGCCTGATAAAATATTACATATAAATCTTATTACACGTGTGTTGAATAGGTGATAATGTGTTGTTTAATTACTAAATATTATATAAAAAATATATAAAGAGTTAAAGGTTTAATTTTATTTGCATTTTGTGTTAGTCGTCTTGCTTGGGTGCTTCTTGTTTATGCGTATCATGAATGAGAAAATGGACAAATTGATCCAATGGGCAAATTGGGCAAATTTCAAGTTACTTGACCTGAAAATGGAATTACAATTTTGGGGCTTTGTTAGGCCCATAAATAAATAAAAGTTGGTTTGTGAAATTAAATAAATTATAAATAAAAAATACATAATAATAAAATTACACCCAACGTTTACATACTCTATCCTTTTTTTTTAGCATTTTAACCCATAACATTTTATTTTGGAGCAAAATGTCTCCTAATTTGATGAAAATTATTAGTTAACTCGAAATTTTTTGATTAACTCGATTCGATCGAACACTCACCCCTACGTGAAGAGATACCATGATAATTAATAAATTTAATATATAATTATACATTATGTCTTTATTATTTACACATTCTGTCAATCTCGACTCACAGAGACTCCTCTACAGTTTAACAGTGCTTGCCTTCTTATAGTTTGATATATTAAATTTTATTTTTTAAAATATATTTTTACTAAATTATTATTGAATTAATAAATCAATACGAATTAGATTATATAATTAATTCAACTATCAATATAATTCTTATAAGATTTATTTTACTAATTATTTTTAAGATGAAATTGTCAAAGATTTTTTTATCAGTAATTAATCCATGCGTTGATGAGATAGTTACTTCCATTCAAAACGTGATGGATTAACCTAAGAATGCTACAATCTCACGTTATCTTTGGGACCTCCTTGCTTCTTATCTCACTTCCATATGTAATAACAGTTTGGGTAAAATATGTGTTTAGTACGTCAACTATCAGTTTCAGTTTGTTTTAGTACATAGACTTTTATTTTATTTTTCAAAATCATGCATAACGTTTTGTTTTTGTTTTATTTGAGAACCCCACCGTTAAAAACTTAACGCATTTAGTATCTAAACTTTTAATTTTTTTCAAACTTTAATGTTAAGTTTTTAACATGATACTAAAATAAAATAAAAATTAAATGTTAGATGTTAGATGTATTTTAAAAAAATTGAAAATTTAAGTACTAAAAATTGATCAAAACTAATAGTTTAGATACTAAACGTATAATTTACTCTATTTTTTGTTTGAATGATGAGAAACACCTTACACCCCAACATTTTTTTGAAAAAAAAGTTTCTTTATAAGTTTAATATAAAATATTTAAAAATAAATTAATATATTTAAAAAATATTGATACCTTAAACATAAATGGAGCCTCGTTATTCATTTCCATCCACTTAAAAAAATTTCTTCATATATTTTTTTAAATTTGACAGCCTAAATTATTTTTCTAGCTCCGCCCCTGACTCAAAAAAATCGAAGATGAAATAAAATCAAGTCAAAGGACCAAAAGGCTTATTTTTCCCTTTTCTAAAGTTAAAGTTTAAAAGACCATATTATCCTTGAATTCGGGTCAAATATTACACTTGAAGGAATACTTTTGCCATCGTAGTCACAGGAGATAAAGAGATGGTGAGAGACAGTACTACAAATCCAACCTTACGAGATTCGAATGTCATTTTCGGCTTCATCTTTACGTCTTAACAACATCACGAGGCTCCATGCTAGTTTTGTCTGTTCGTAAAATTGATTTGATTTGAAAAATATTTATTGCGATTTTAAATTTAATATTAAAATGATTACATCAACCCAAATATTTAGTTCGAGTTTAATTATTGGATTAATACTCGAATTAAACTATTTGGATTGTTCGTATAACTCGAGTACTGATATCTATTAGGTCAATTAATGGACGCATTGAGATTGAGATGGATAACAGTGAAGTCGTCATGGTCCTTTCTTCTCCGACTGTCACCCGGAGTCTCCTCTAACGTCAGTGGAGCATCAGTTTCACCCACATTCATAGAGAAGCAAATATCGTTGTTGATGCCCTGACCCGTCTCGGGCGCACGGCACCGCCTGACATTTCTGTGATTGTTCACCCATCTGTTGAAGTGCAACGTCTTCTCCAACCGGACATGAACAATTAGAGAAGAAACTCAAATCGTTGTTAACACAACTCTTCCTCTTTATAACAAAAGAAAAAAAAAAGTTTTGCTCATTAATAGAAGTTTACACAATTTCATGAGAGCCAACAAATAATGTTATCCTTGGAAATATCTAATTGTCAATGTAGACACTCGTTTTCTCCCTGATCTTTGTTACTATTATCATTATTATTATTATTATTATTATTATTATTATTATTATTATTATTATTTACTATTATCAGAAGCTTAAGAGATTCAAATAGGGACTAAAACACAATGTCACAAGCCCAGAGACCCCCTCGAGTGATTTACCCACGCCCGAAAATGTTGTTTGCCCTAGAACCCAAAACGACGCCGTTTTATGACCCTCTTAAATACCCTATTATAAGTTTTGGGAAACCCTAATCCCATTCATTTCCCTCAGCCGTTTTTCTCCTCTCTCAAAATTTTCTCCTTTCTCCCTTCCTCTCTACCGAGAAAGGAGAAGGTTTTTCCTCCGGTCGCCTTCTCCGGTGCCCCGACGAGGGGTCGATTACCCTCTAAACCCCTAAACTACCCAACACCAAACCCAACTCAAAATCTCACTCAAATAACCCAAAATAGAAGGAGAAAATAAAGGCTACATTTCTTTTTATTTTTGGAGACCTTACAACTCCGGCGAAGCAAGGAGGATCGAGTCTAGCGGTGAGGCTTTCCCCTTTTTTTAGTTTCGTTTATTTTTTTTTCTCTATTTTCCCTTTTCCCGAAAAAACAAACCTTTTTCCTTTTTTTGAACCGAACCTCCCTTG